ATTATTGTAATATCTCTCATCCTCTCGATGACTTTAATATAATGCTTATATATCTCAACCGTACAATTGTGCATTACTGAACCAGTGAGTTCAAGCAGCGGGTGGGGGCTGGTCCCTTCACCCCCCCAAGCGCCAATCTTTTAATGTAATACTACATACCATAGCTCAGAAAACAACTCTACCAGGTAGAGGTGACCACGCGGGAACTGAAGAGGAGAGCCAGTTAACCTTTCCACAGGATTAGAGGTGACCTTGCCAGTCACTTTTTGCCCTAGGTGTAGAGGCAGATGGAGGTCCAGACAGGGTCCAAGTGGGTCGAGGCCCCATGCAGGAAACAAATGCATTACCTAAAATCAGTTGGAAGTGGGTGTAGCGGACTCTGAAGGTGGCAGGCATGGGTGACAGCCAGGGCCCTGAACCATCCTTGCCATCGTTGAGTTCACTGACTTGTAGCCCCACCCCCACCCCCACCCAAGCAGAGAACCATTCTTTTAAATAATGACCCAGTACAGAAATCTAGAAAGAACCCATTCCATCTCACCATACTCTAGAACGTGTTTTATTATTGCTTTGTTAGAGAATCATGCCAGGCCTGCCCTCAGATGTCTTGGAAATCCCAGCAGTCCAGGCTCTGGAAAGGCTCCACCAGCCGGTGGCCCTAGCTGTCCATCTTCAGCTGCAGGAAATGAGAGGGACCAAGGCTGAGCAACAAGAGGGAGGCAGCAGATATGGAGAGGGCTGGTGACAGGCAGGGCTTAACGTCCCCGTCCCAGGGGGACCCAGGATCTAGGGCTCCTGCTTGCCACACCCGTCTCTTCCTGGTCTCCCTTTGGGTTAGGGAGGGTCTTTACCTGGCGCAGAACCTAGAAATGGGTGAGCTGAGGCACAGGGACTTCGCACCCCGAACCTTCAACCTCACAACATACATCTTCTGGGGGCCATAGGAATCAGGGCAGCAGAGCTCAAAGCAGGGCCAGAAGGTACACTTAGGGCCGCAGAGGCGCGTCTGGTTCAGGGGCCTGAGGACCCCGGAATCGCAGCACTGCTCCAAGGGGTTGTAGATCTCCTCCCCACACTGGGGCGCCGGGCGGCAAGACCACAGCCCTGGAATCGTGTGGTCAGCTGGGGAAGACAGATTGCGTATTGGTTCCGAGAAAGCAAAGCCTCCCCTACACCGTGATGCTGTTTGCGTCGTCCCCCTCCGCCCTACCCACCCTCACTCACACACCAGGAGGTGCCTTTCCTCGCCTCACTCCCCTCGTCCTCACCTGTGATTACACCTGTGCCTGCCCACAGGAAGGTGAGGACGCCAACAGCAGCTGTGTGGGAGGAAGGCCGATGAGGATGAGGCTGGATTTGCTGGGGCTAAGCTTCAGGAAACAAACCTCCTCACAACTGGGTCAGTGGGCAACATGGTGACCAACGGAGACCAGATGGAAGTCGTCGCACATTTCACTTGCCTGGGACCCGCCATTGACACCCGTGGAAGCAGCGGTCGAGACATTAAAAATGACAGCCCATAGGGTGGGTCCGCTGTAAGAGACCTCTCCTAGCTATGAAGAAGCAGACACTCACACTGAGGACTGAAACATGCTTGACCCAAGCCACAGAGTGTCCAGTCCCCCATCTGGGTTTGGAAGCTGGACATTGACTAGGGAGGCGCCTTGGTGAAGAATATTGGATATTGAAGGTACCACAGCCTTGGAGAAGACCAAACAAGCCTGTCTTGGACAAAGTACGGCCAGACTTTCTGCTCCTTCGAGACAAAAATGGCCAGACTTCACCTCGTATACTTTTAGATGTGATCAGGAGGGACCAGTCCCTGGAGAAGGGCATCGTGCTCGGTAGAGGGGCAGCGGAAAAGAGGAAGACCCTCAATATAAGGGTTGACCAACATGATCGCCGAAGACAAAGTGGGTGCATGAGTAAATGTGGTGAGGAGAGCGGATGGTGCCCGGCTATCAAAAGACATAGCGTCTGGGGTCTTAAAGGCTTGAAGTTAAACAAGCAGCCATCCAGCAGGGAAGTAAATAAGCCCACATGGAAGAAGTACACCAGCTTGTGTGATCACGAGGTGTTGACAGGATCAGGTATCAGGTATCAAAAGATCCCAAACAAACAACTACAGTGATGCAAACAAGGGGGTTTGGAGTGGAGACCCAAACCCCATTTGTAGACAATTGGATATCTCCCTGCAGAAGGGCTATAAGGAAGGGATAGTTCAACCAAGGTGCAGTATAGCACTAATGAATCACAT